TAGATATGAACCGTTATTAATACCCAAGCAGAGGGCTTATTATAAGGTTTTTTATCCTTTGAGAAATTGCCCCCAAACCCAAATTTTTCCCAAAAAAAATTTAAAAAGGAACCCCCATTCTACACATCAAATGCTTTAGCTTGCATCCAATGAAAAGGGCTAGTTGGTTGTGTGAGTCATATACATGATATTGTAAATTCACAGTCCCTAATATTATCTGAGCCCCTGTTGGGATGAACCCACTGATCTATTTTTATGGGCTCCCAATAACCTTTTTAATCGAGTAGAAAAAAATTTTGCTAGGATTTTTTGGTCAAGTTAAGTAAAAAAAATTGGGTCGTATGTTAGGATCTAAGCATCTTTACCTTTCTTGTAAAATTAATTTATAAGGCAAATGCATTGATTGGGGTGGGGAGCCTTTCTGAAAGGCTTCATTATAGAAACAAATAACAAAGGGTTTAGAAATCTTCAAATGATTGGTAGAATCCAAGGGAATACCATCTAAACCGGGTCCCCTTTTCAGTGGCATCTTTAAGGGCCCCGGAGAGATCTCCTGAATGTTTAAAGGACCTTAAATTTTCCCTACCCTGTCGTGAGTGAGGGGGGGTTTTAAGATCTGCAAGAAATTTTTCGAATTTTTGGTCATCTAACTTACCTTGGGAAAGTAAATTTTATTTAAAAAGTGCTGAACCTATCATTTATCTGTTGGGATGACATTGTGACAGTCCATCTGATTGTCAAACTCTGGGATGTGGTTCATACTGTTGAGCTTTTTAAAAAGGAAAGCCAAAGGGGCCTTTTTCCCCATTTTCCCAGATCCTTTTTATTTCGAAAAAAGGGGCTTCTCAGCATTTTTGGTATAAAAAGTGTTTAATTTATATTTCCATTCAAAATTTTATTCAAAGTGGTCCACCTGTTTTTAAAAAGTTTTTAAAAAAATGAGGTAATATTTAGGAAAATAGACAGATGCAAATTTTGGGAGGCTCAAAAAAAAAATGCATCGTCTCCTACATTTAATAGACGAGACGTTAAAGGTGAAAAAATGTTGTATAAAATTTTCCCCCGAATTTGAAACCTGAGAACGTTCTCATCAGAGACTGCGAAAAAAATTACTATATGTTTCACAAAGGTGTAAAAGGGTGGATTTTATTTTAAATAACTGCGAAAAAAAATCCATTTTTTGGGCTTACATGGATAAGAAACTGATAATTAAAGCAGGGCTTGCTAGGCACAAAGTTTTACGGGGGCACGGGCCCCTACTCTATCCCCTCCTTCCTACATACACAAATACGGGCAAGCACCTGCCCCCCCCTAACTTTCCCCTACCAAAATTACCGTTAGATATTAATGAGTGTAAAGAAAATTTTGTTTTAACAAACATAAAAACAATTTAAAAAATTGCAGCTAAAAAAATAAGACATTACCAATTTTAAAAATAAAAAGTTTCCTTATACACATTCTGAAGTAATCATTAATTCCTGGTTTCGAGTTTTAGTTCGGGGGAAAGTTTAACTAAACATGAACAAATTTTTTCTTTTTTTTTTAGCATTAAAGTTTACCTCCTATTTTTAAATTTTTGAAAAGGGGTCAATCACTTACTGGATCAGCTTAGAAGTTCTTCCTTTTAAACTGAAAAATAGCCAGATGATGGAGCCCCTTGCCCCATTGTGCACATTGTGTCCCATTGTGTGGTTTGGGATCCAAAGGCTTGCCCCCCAGGGCGCCGGGGACCCCTTTCTAAGAGCTTGTGCTCACCTGCAACACTTTCCCCATCTGTATCAAGAAAACTATTTAAGCTGGAGGACAACTTCACTCCTTGCCAGTTGTTTGCCATTATGGTAGCAATCTGAGCAACCTGCCTCCCTGAATCTTGACCCCCTGATTCCCTAAACCGAACCTAACCTGTTCCTGTCCTCTCTGCTTCTGGGAAAGGGAACCTGTCTAAAAACAGAAACTCTGGGGAGTTTCTCTGTCAGAAACCTTCTTCTACTACTGAAAGCCCTGAGATCAAAAACCCAGGAGGGTTTCTCTGTCTGAAACCAGTCTGTCTGATAAGGAAAACCCGGGAGAATAAAACCCCTGTTAGCCCCTCAGCCTGCTGCCACCTCTGGCCCCTTCCAGGTTCCCCCCTGTTGCTCTGCTCAAACCTCAGAACAGGTACAAACCTGGCTCCCCCCAAATAGCAAAAATTACCAGGACTTCTGCTAACCATTCTGCCCCCCTCTGCAGTGAAAATCGTCGTGACAGTCCGGGACCAGATTGTAAAACCTGTTCATGTTCAAACCTGTGTTTTTTCACAAAACTTTTGAACTTTTTCCCCCTGTCTCAGAGTGTGTTCTGCATTGGGCTAGAAACCTATACCCATCATGACATTTTAGCTTTCTAAACACACTGGTGCCTTTCACAACTCCACTGTTGATTGTGATAGTAGGGAGGTCTAGATGACCTGCGTTAGTTTTGGGGAACAGGGTGTTTCAAGCAAGTTAAAAACACCCCTGAATACCTGATGAAAAGGGCTTTTTTTTTTAAACCCAGGAAAAGTTTTCAAACATTTTGAATTAAAAAACGTTTTTTTTACCCAAATTTGTCCTGGGGATAGTGGGACAACTTCACTTGTTGAGACCATATGTTTCCCCCCAAGTCAAATAATTCCCCTTCTTGTTTGTGGACGCTGGTTGTTGCTCCTCAAAACCTTCATGGGCCGCCCTCCTGTCTCTCACCCTTCTTTCCTGTCATCTCGCCTCCTCCCCCCTTTTCCCACTCCAGCACTTCTTCCATTTTCAAAACAAACATTAAAAAAGTAAATCTTAATTATGTAAATATCTACATATTGCTTATAACGTTCCAAGTAAATGCTTAGCTTAAATCACTAATTCATCCCGGGGCCTTACCTCCCTCTCTCATCTTGTTTTTTCTGCTTTGTTGAGGAATTTCCCGATATCCAACAACAAACCCAAAGCAGTCATTTTCAGTTTAGCCTATAATCAGTGGTTTTAGTGGGAAAAAAATAAAATTTGCAGGTAAGAAACTTACCAGAACTAAAAAATGCGTCGCGGCCCCCCCCGTGTCCCATCCAACTCAGTTGAGAGCGCGTTTTAATTTACCTGCAGTTTTATCAGTGCTGGCCTGAGGGGGCGCTAATACATCCTCAATTTGGGGGTTACCAACACACTTGCTGCGCTTTTTTATAAAATATACCTCCTCCCATTGAATTTTCTAAATTTATATTAAAAAATGTTCACTGTTGCAAATATTCTAAGATTTTTAGTGGGGCACAGCTAAATTTTTACTGGGGCACGTGCCCCCGTGAATGGGGTCTGGGGGACGCCCCTATGTAAAGAAAATCTATAAAAGGTTTCTCTTCGGTTTTAATTTCAGTCAGTTTTTTCACAATATGCGAGAGTTTTGGGAGCCGGGTCCCCCGCGAAAAAATTTCAAATTAATTTAAGCAGACGTGATAAAAGGTATTTTATTAACTTACATCACAGTAAAAATCTGTATCACTTGGAGTTACTAGACTGGGGGGCCCCCAATTCCTGCGCGAACCTGTTCTGGACTCAGTTTTCCTGCGGGGCACAGAATGCTGGCGATAGACGTGATGCGTCAACAGGGGGCGTCCCGGTAAGGGTACCTCTTTTGGCTGTTTTCCAGCAGATTTAATGGGGATCAACCAATATCAACATGCTGGGAATCTATAACTTTTTTTATTTTTTTTTTATTTCAAAATTAGAAAGTTTTTAAAATAAAAAAAAAATGTGAAAACTGGTAAAAATCTTTAAGCCAAAGTGACCATTAAAAAAGCATTGCTTCTTCCAAACAAAGAGCTATGTGAACAGCTTAAAATAAATGGGCTAATGTTTTTATTTCCAAAAAGCAAAAGGGCATTTTTTTATCTACGGGGGATGAATTGTGAAATAAGCTTATTCAGGGGTATTAATGGTGAATGATTTTAAATGTTATTTCTTTTATTTGTAATTAAAAATGTTGTGGGTTACTCCAGGGCTCTATTCCACTTAATGTTTTTATACAGGGGGGACCAGACCTGATAGCAGGGATGAGTTTGCACATAGAAGGTTTTGTTTTTTATGTAAGATATGCTATTGTTCCGATAAAAATTTTTGAGGGGAGAAATTTTGTTTGTAAAAAGCAACCCGCAAGTTAAACCTGTTTATGGAAGTTTGCGCTTTTATTTGGGAGTCTTTGATGGGGTACGGGCACTGAAGCAAGAAGTGTTTTACCGATTTTTAAAGAGGTTTTGGGAAAAATTTCCCCCAGACTGTTTTTTTATTTTCAGAAAAACTTTAAAACCCTTGATTTTAATATCTCATTAAAAAGAAGAAACGATTACCGATAAACCCCCTTCCCAATTTTTTGACAGATGTTTTTTTTTTTGATTTTATGGGGGTTCTTCCTCCATAAAAAAGTTAATAATGGCTTTTCCTACATTAGCACAGGGAAATTTAGGTATTACTGTAGAGTAAAAAATATGCTGCTCGTGAGAGACCTTGCTTTAGAAAGCAGAACCCTGCCAAATGTAATAAACTCTTGTAAACCAAGAAACTAATTTTTTATTTAAAAGAGGGTGACTAAAGAAAGATACTCTCTGTCATAATTTGGATTATACTGATTTTTTCTCCAAATAGGTTTTCAAGTTCTTTATATTTATCCCCAAATTTTACCCGGGGCTTTTTTTTAAGAGAAAACAGCTTCATTTTGATAGATTAGATTCAAGCTTTTTTTAGAAATTGTTACAACCTTTAGTGCATTTCTATTTGGGGGTTCATTTTTTAGAAACAAAATTTTGTCGTCAGCCACTGTGATATCCATCCCTGACGACCACACCATTATTTAACTTTCGTCCCTTTCAAATACTTTTTTTTGGACAAGTTTGTTTTAGGGTTGCATTTTATTTTATACTTACACTCAAATGCTTTGACGGTCTGGCAGGATAAAACAAGGAATTCAAGCCTTTTAAAATGTATGTGTTTCTTTTCCGGGCCCCCGGGGAAGGGCGTACCAGCCCCCAGACCACCAAATTATGCAGTTGAAATCCCCACAATGGGGAATTCGCAAAGGCGGCACATCCGGGGGGCAAAGCAAGCCCCACTCTGGGGGAACCCCTTCATGATCAAGGTTTTCGCCTCTGCAGGTAAGTATGATTTTGGGGAAAAGTTAAATTTAAAAGGGCCCCTTGAAAGGGAGCTAATGTTGTTAAGCAGTGGCCAATGGACCCCCCACCCCTAAGAATGAGCAGTTGTTAATTGAGGCACGAGCTATTGATACCTTATAAGAGGAGGAGGAGCCCAAAAACCTCATCTTTCGATCCATGGCACCTTTTTTGAACATTTGAGCCACCCCGTTTTTGGAGATGCTTATCCTTCCATTGAACCAGAGCTGACAGGATCGTGGCACCTAATCCATTCTGATTCCTATATACCTTTTTTTGTAACAGGCATGAAAATTCAAGGTAATCATATAAGACTAAAAGGGGGTTTCCCCCCAATACCTTTAAAAGGGAATGAAAACTTTCCCGCCTTTTTTTGCTGTCATTTTTTAAAAGAAAGAGGGTTCTATGCTCAACTACCAGTGCGGAGTCCCCGTGACTGACAAAATACCTCAGCTCAGTCAGTAGGGTAATTCTGAAAGGGCAAATACCAGCGAAAGTTTCTATAAAGCTGGCTTTTTTAAGTTTGTAGGTCTCAGAGGAGGGAGGCGACATCAAATTTTATACAGATCGGACAAAGTTCTCGAGGTATAGCCATCAAAAAGCAGATTTTGCACACTCTAATGACGGGACAATACACGGGTACCTGGGACATCAAACACAGATCCCCTCAGTCTAGGCCCCAAACAACTATCCCAAATCCAAAACCCTGTTCGACAATCTTACCGATTGGCCTAAAATAGGTGTTGGGTCCTATGACCCCAAGAAAATATCCTGCTGGCACACAAAAAAACACTCTATATCAAAGTATTTTTTCTTTTTTTAGCATTTGGGGGTTTAGTGGTAGAATTCTCGCTTGCCATGTGGGGGGCCTGGTTCAATTCCGGCCAATGCAGTGTATTTAGAAGTTGTCTTTTCAAAAACACAAAACATCCAAGGCTTGCACCTTACTGGGCTATCCAAACGGTTGCACAGGGGGGAATGTTGGCCCTTAGTGTACAGATGCGCTATCTGAAATACCCACAGCGGGCTCTCTGAGCAAGACCATTAACCCTACTACAGGGGGCTGGTCATAAAATTAGAATATCATGAAAAAGTAGATTGATTTCAGAAATTTCCCATTTAAAGTGAAACTTGTATATTATATTCATACATTACATACAAACTCATATATTTCAGATGTTTATTTTGTTTAATTTTGATGATTACAAATGACAACAAATGAAAATCTCAAATTTCATCATATCAGAAAATTAGAATATTACTGAAGACAATAAAAACAAAGGATTTATAGAAATTTTTGCCAACTGAAAAGTATGAAAAATGAAAGTATGAGCATGTACAGCACTCAGTATTTAGTTGGGCCTCCTTTGGCCTGTATTACTGCAGCAATGCGGCGTGGCATGGAGTCGATCAGTCTGTGGCCCACTGCTCAGGTGTTATGATAGCCCAGGTTGCTCTAATAGTTGGGCTTTTAGCTCTTCTGAATTGTTGGGTCTGGTGTATTGCATCTTCTTCTTCACAATACCCCATAGATTTTCTATGGGGTTTAAGGTCAGGAGAGTTTGCTGGCCAATTAAGAACAGGGATACCATGGTCCTTAAAACCAGGTACTGGAGCTTTTGGCCCTGTGTGCAGGTCCCAAGTCCTGTTGGAAAATGAAATCTGCATCTCCAAAAAAATTGGTCGCTGCAGGAAGCATGAAGTGCTCTAAAACTTCCTGGTATGTGGCTGCGTTGACCTGGACCTCAGAAAACACAATGGACCAACACCAGCAGATGACATGGCACCCCAAACCATCACTGACTGTGGAAACTTTACACTGGACTTCAAGCAACGTGGATGAATTGGGCCCCTCTTCTTTTCCTCCAGATCTGGACCTTGATTTCCAAAGGAAATGCAAAATTTACTTTCATCAGAGAACATGACTTTGGACCACTCACCCGCAGTCCAGTCCTGTTTCTCTTTAGCCCAGGCAAGACGCTTTGACGCTGTCTGTGGTTCAAGAGTGGCTTGACACAAGGAATGCGACAGCAGAAACCCAGTCTTTCATACTTTTGGTGTGGTGGTTCTTGAAGCACTCACTCCCGCTGCAGTCCACTCTTTGTGAATCTCCCCCACATTTTTGAATGGGTTTTGTTTCACAATCCTCTCCAGGGGTGCGGTTATCTCTCTTGCTTGTACACTTTTTTCGACCACATCTTTTTCCTTCCCTTCACCTCTCTATTAATGTGCTTGGACACTGAGCTCTGTGAACAGCCCGCCTCTTTAGCGATTTACCTTTTGTGTCTTGCCCCTCCTTGTGCAAAGGTGTCGATGGTCGTCTTTTGGGACAACTGTCAAGTCAGCAGTCTTCCCCATGATTGTGTAGCCTATAGAGCTAGACTGAAAGACCATTTAAAGGCTTTGCAGGTGGTTTGAGTTAATTAGCTGATTAGAGTGTGGCACCAGGGGCCCTCAATTTTGAAAACCCTTTTTACAATATTCTAATTTTCTGATATGATGAATTTGAGATTTTCATTTGTTGTCATTTGTAATCATCAAAATTAAACAAATAAACATCTGAAATATATGAGTTTGTATGTAAAGTATGAATATAATATACAAGTTTCACTTTTTAAATGGAATTATGAAATCAATCTACTTTTTCATGATATTCTAATTTTATGACCACCCTGTATTTTCCCCAGGCCCCACTGACCCTTTAAGGGGGCCCGGGTTAAATG